CAACTTTCCCCACTTCCCAGGCAGTTAGTACATGGAACTAAGTATCTTAGTGTTGAACTCCTCAGCTGCTCATTTAATGAATTTTCCTTAGAAAAGCTACTGTCGGCTTCTCATTGATCCTAATGGATACATCTTCTTCCTCATTCTGTCCTAATTCACTATTTAATTTGCTCAGTTTTAAATTTTGTTATTCTCTGAGCAGCAGGAGAAAAAGCAGCTCGGCAGTTCTGAGAATTCTGCAGAGCTAATGTCTGGCTGTACCAATGGGGGATGTATACATTTGTGAATAACTCCTGCTTGTGTCTCCTCTTCTGCATTATGAGGGGTAATTGAGCCAGCAGCCACAACTGACAAATTCTGACATCTTAGTGGTTGAACGTACTAAAAGTTTATGTTATAGTCTCATACTGCCCTTCCTCATTTTCTCTTTTTTTATTTCTTTTTTTTTTTTTTTTTTTTTTTTTTTTTGAGACGGAGTCTCGCTCTGTCACCAGGCTAGAGTGCAGTGGTGCGATCTTGGCTCACTGCAACCTCAGCCTCCTTGGTTCAAGTGATTCTTCTGCCTCAGCCTCCCAAGTAGCTGGGACTACAGGCTCACACCACCACACCCAGCAAATTTTCGTGTTTTTAGTAGAGACAGGGTTTCACCATGTTGGCCAGGATGGTCTCAATCTCTTGACCTCATGATCCACCTGCCTCAGCCTCCCGAATTGCTAGGATTACAGGCATGAGCCATACGCCCGGCCCTTCCTCATTTCTTAGCCTCTCCATCTGATGCTTGTGGCCCCAAGGTTACTGAGGAAAGGAAAGAGAGAGCCGAGACTCAGCAAAATGGTTTTAGAGCCAGGCCTGGAAGTGACTTATGTAATATCTGTCCACATTTCATTAGCCACAATTTAGCCCACAGCAACTTAACTGCATGGCAAGCTGGGAAATGTAGTTTTTGCTGCATGTTCTACATGACCCCTGACTTTGTCAGCTTCTTGTGATGCTGTCTCCACATTTTCTTTCTTTCAACCTAGCAAAATATTGAATGTATGTCAAAATGATTTTTGTCATTAGTGTTATAGGCCAGGGTAACTCAAATATTTGCTGTGATTATGAACTATAATCCAGCTATCTTGATTTCATACTCTAATACATTAGTCAACATGTAAAGTGAAAAAAAAGTTTATATTTTATATATATTTAAAAAAAAAAAAAATATATATATATATATATATATTTGCTTTTGCAAACCTGTATAATTATTGGTACTTTGGGACTTATTGGCAAATATTTCTAACTGGTTATGTTAAATTTCCTAACCCAACATTTAAGGTAAGAAGGCCACAGGCCTTCTATTCTGTGGCTGGACCAGGGTCTGGTATGCAGCAGGAGCTCAGTAAATATTTGTGGATTATATAAATCCGTTTTGTCATCTACTTTGGGAAAGTGGTAGTTGAGGCAGAAAGAAAGAAGCTTTTGGATTCCTGGTATCTTCCATGCCATTCATTCTCTCGACCATTGGGGCGGAATGTAAGTTTAAGTGTATCTACTTTGTGTCTCTTCCCTTTCTCTCTCCTTTTTTTTTTTTTTTCTCCAAGCCTATATGTAGGTATGCTGGGATAAGGGGCAGTAAATAGTTTAATAAGGGCAGTAAGAGGGGAGGTTTGGAGGAAAGAATAAAGAGGGCACCTACACATTCACATAACTAAACTGATAAATTGTAGACTCAAAGCTGAGAATTGAGCTATTTTTTTAGGTACTACAAGAAGTAGAAACAATGTCAATTTCACATTTTGCCAGTATGAAATGGTGAAAGCATTGCTCTTCTGTTTTTAGTTGACACCAGATTGACTATGTTCTAATTCCTTAGAAGTCAGGCTGGTTTTTTTTCTTTATTTTTAATGCCTTGTAGAAATAAGAGAACAATTCATGTAAAACAGCAATAAAGAACAATTTATTGGCTGGGCACGGTGGCTCATGACTGTAATCCCAGTACTTTGCGGGGCGGAGGTGGGAGGATCCCTTGAACATAGGAGTTCAAGACCAGCCTGGGTAACATAGTAGGACCCTGTCTCTAAAAAATATTTTAAAATTAACTAGGTGTGGTGGTGCACACCTGTGGTCCCAGCTACTTGAGAGACTGAGGTGGGAAGATTGCTTGAGCCTGGGCAGTTGAGGCTGCAGTGAGCTATGATCATGACACTGTACTCCAGCCCGTGTGACTCTGTTTCAAAAATTAAAAAATAAATAAAATAAAAAAACAAACAAAAACACATATTCAAACTTTCAATGTCTCCTTCCTGAGTAATTTCAAATACACATTTCACATATATGCAGAGTGGAAGCCATTAATAGAGTTACACTAGTAAACCTAAACATTCCCAAGGTAAGGTTTCATAGAAAACATCAAAACTACTCTGTTCCACTTTGGGTTCCCAGCCAAAATTAATTAGGGCCTCATCAAGAGAAGCACTCACCTTGACTTTCAATGAGCCATAGATAAATAATGAACTAAGTTTCAGTTGACAATAAAAGGGCTTTGCTTAAAGGGAAAGGAAGATTTAATACTTGGTTTGGGGACAGCCACCTGCAGTGTGTCTCTGTGGTTTTTTTTTTTCCCCCCCTTAATATCTCTCTGTAAAGCTTCATCATCGCCCTCTGACATGTCAAAAGAGAACACGGGCCAAAAACATAACTATGTTTAGATAAAGACAAGTTTGGGGTTGCATTTCCGCCTTTGAGAACAGTGTTATATTAGACAACCAATCTTTTATAACAAACCATCCCTAGATGCCACTGTGGGAAAAAGCACTGGGAAGAATGAACTATGAGTCTGGATCATTTGGCCCTGGGATTTCGATCACAGAATCATCTTTTTTCCTCTGACCTCCAGATGCCAGTTCTCATCTCCCTATCATATGCATTTGGACTTCGTGCATGGACTTTGATTTGAGCTTAGAACAGTTCCTGTTGAGACACCTTTTAATTATAGTGCAAAACATTTATTCAGGCAAGGAAGTCTTTACTGCAGTTTTCATACTTCACAAAACTGAGCTAAAACTTACCTGTTTTGGATGAAAACTTAACTAGTGGGCAAGCAACATTGATTCTCCAGGGCAAGACCACATAAGACAGATATTCTTGATCTGAGTGAGAAGTTTGTGGGTTTGGAGTTATTATTTCTCTTTCAACCATGTCCTATTTGGAAGAGGATAACAATGCCCAACAGATCTTTTGTTTAGTGCTTCTTATATATAGTAAAATACTGTAATTTAACAGCTTGCTGGGGGAACAAGAATTTGTTCCAGTTCCTGATTTAAATGTTTATGCTAATTGCTATTTATTGGCCCAGATGCAAATGATAGGTTGGCCAAAGTGAAATTTTATGACGAGCAAACTCCCCCCTTTTGTGCAAATTGAAAAAGTGAAACAAGAGGAGGATGAAATGAGCCGAAGATGGTCTTAATGGCTGCTTTTTAATGGGGAAGATAAAATTAAGACTGATTTACGTGGCCAACTCCCCTGTTTTCTCTTATCAGCTCATTTGGCAGGAAAAATGGAAAAGTAATTGTTCCTCTTTCAATGTGGGCCTCAAACCATTATTTATTGGCTGAAATTAATCGCTGTTTATCCTTCATTCACGTGGAAACCGCTCTATCAGCATTATGAACCCCGGCAACTCAACTAGTCCCTTGCAATTTTGTCGACAGCAAGCTTGGATCCTGATGAGGCGTGCCTTAATTTTCTGGGCTGTGGGAGTTAATGAAGACTCCTTTCTGAGGTGGACATATTTGTATTTCTACAACATTAATAACAAAGACCCACACTTTCTCTTTGGCAGCAAATAAACTTTTTTTTTTTTTTTAAAAAAGAGGAAAAATTATTGAAAGGTCAGTGCTTGGGGGAAAAACAGAAATACGGTCATGAAACCAATTAGTTTTTACTTCAAGGCACATCTAAAACATGAAGAGATGTGTAGACACTCAAGGGGTTGCACGTGGACAAAGTGCTTCTGGGAATGCCCTGCAAATTGGAAAAGGCAAATGGAGATACTGCAAAGCCACGCATTCAAGAAGAATCACTTCTTAGTTCTTTTTTGCTTCCACTTTGCCTCTTCTCAACACTGCTTGATGCATGTAATTGAGAGCCTGTGTTTTTTATGGGGCAGAGATTTCTGGATTGCTTCCTGCTCATCCTCAGGGGACCATCTGGAACTGACAGTCTGTCCTCCAGACTCATATCTTCCTCTTTCCAATCAACCAGTCAATCATCAAGCATTTATGCACACCTTATGTGCCCAGTAGGCCTCATTTGCTGTGGGAGAAGCACTGAGAGCCAGAGTGCCCTCTGCATTGACCAGAAGCACAGCTAAGTGTCAAGGCTCAGGTTAAATCTTGGGAAGCATTTATGGGGAGGGGGCAAGCAGGTTGTGAGTGCAGGTTTTTCAGAGACATGACCAGTCTTTCTGTGAGTTTCTTTGGATCTCATCTCTGGCATTTTCCTGCCAAAATCCAAACTTTCTACCCTTGCCTGACTGACTGTACTCTAAGGCTTTTGATCTAGAAGAATAAGTGAGTAAATGTTTTCATGAGTCCGCAATTTCCGTAGTCAAAACTTAAATTATGTGCTTTACCACATAGTAGCTTAATAGATGCCTTGAGTATAGACTCACACTTGAATTTTTTTTACTTGGCTTTTATTTATTTCTTCAACTTTTTATTTCTTCAACTTTTTAATGATTTTCTTCAACTTTTTAATGAGTTTCTTCTTTAGTTAACCTTTTAGTGATGTGTGATGTTTTATCTCATTTTTAAAGTTATTTATTCATTGTTTTGTCCAACAAGTATTTAAATGACCACATATTGTGTGTCACACATTATTAAGGTATCTGAGGTTAGAGCAGTGAACCAAAGAGACAAAAGTCCCTGCCTCTATGGAGCCTACATTCTAGAGAACTGCTATTATGATGATAAGTTCCTATGTTCTTAAATTCTCTGTGTTCCTAATTCTGAATAGCCAGATGCTAGTCCATTTATATATGACATGGTTTACTTAGCGGTTCACGAAGTTTCTTTTTTAAATAATGCAATGATGAACATCTTTTATGCACACTTGTTTTCTTCATGTCTGATCATTTCCTCAGGCTCTCTAGAACTGCTGTGGTCTGCTTTCAAGTTCTGAGCCTAGCTGCGTGCCGGAATCACACCATCTGAGGCTTAATGAATCAGCATCTCCAAGGTAAGTTCCAGACGTATATATTTCTGATTCTCAGCAAAACTTTAGAATATTATCTTATTATGATTCTAAATATCATTTTGATTCTGTTTTTAATTGCATACTTATTATATTTATATTATATATAATATTTATTATATTTATAATCTCAAGTTTTCTTAGGTTTCTTAGCTTGCTGGGTTTTAATAATAATTTACTGTAATAAAAATCATACCTACTGACCAGTTCCCATAGGGGCTGGGCTCAGTCTTTATTATTCAGCCATATTCGTATTTTAAATGAAATTCTACCCAAAGAATGATATGTACTTTGCAAGTGAAAAGAGAAAAAATAATGATTTGTGTTTCTCACAACAGTTCCTAACCTCCCTTAAGAAGAGTTTTCTCAAGTTGTATTGCAAAATTGATTTTATAATCCATACTATAGATTTGTATATACCGATGCTGTCTTTCAGCTATTTCTATTGACTCTCCATTAACAGTTTACTGTCTTAAAAAATAAACAACAAAAAAAATCAATCTTACTAATTCATAGAATGTTAAAAAAAAATCCTATTTCTAAATAAGATTTCCTCTAGTTGATTAAAAAACACAAGGTAACTCAAGATTTTGGTCGGTGGGGGTGGTGGTAATAAGTTTGTGTGAGGGTGGAGAGGTTTTTATGCCTGCTGAGAGGTCCAGAGAGATCTGGAATCTAGTACCTTAGAAAACTTTCTTAAAAAAAAAATGTACTCTGACTTTTTTTAATGAGGTGCCTTTTTATTAAAAATAAAAAGCAGAGATAAAATAATCATTTGATTTAGATATTTTAAAGTATGAATATCATTCAAAACATTGAGCACCATACAGCAATTGGTCACTAAATTCAGTTTTAAGCCTCCTAGAAGCCAAGGTAAAAAAGGGAAATCTATACTTCTTATTGGTCTAATGAAGTATGTAAGATCATCCAAGAAAGCACCCTTTCCTCTGGGAGGTTTTCAAAGATACAGTCAAAAAACTTGAAAATATGATGGATGTATGTTCTGAGGATCAGAGTTATTTCAAAAACCTTTCAAGACTTTCTATTCCTTTCTGCTTCTAACACTTAATCATTTCTCTTGTTTTGTCTTTATAATTTGGCATTTTGTAGATTGGCGAAAGTGCTGCTATCAAAGACAGGTAGAATGGCTCCTGTCTCTTGCTGCTTTCCTGGCACTTGAGCTATGCAGTGATAATACAAGTGGAAAGAACTCAACAGAAGACAGGTATGTTTAACTTCACATCAACTTTATTAGCTTTTTTCGAATTACATTATCCATTAGACGAGGGTCAGGAATGAACATTTTTAGCATTAAAAGTTTTTTACATTATTTTTATGATTTAAATTATTAAAATGACATAGATTGTTCTTAGCCACTTGTTATTATTCTCATTTGTCTTCATTGTTATGAGACCACTTTAGTAATTTACAGTTGACCCCTGAATGCAGCTGTAAGAATTATTGACTATTCTTTATCTTTCTGCTACAGTATTTTCTAGAGAAACTTTTGATCGTGAACATACCCTGCCATTATAGTTCACGGAAGATAGAAGTATTTGTGCTTTTTTTGTCTTTACAAAATATATACATTCTCTGGGTAAACATATTCAACCATTAGAAAGGTAGAAAGTAGGAAGGAATATTCTCTGCTTCTCAATTTCCATTTTCAAAGACATTTTGCTTGAAAGTTTATTAAGGAGTATTAGTGTTTCAGAAAAAAAAAAAAAAGCAACATTTATTTACCAGTAACAATTTAAAATTTTTATCTAACATATAATTATCACTTGCCATGTTATAAATTGAAGTTATATATACTTACATTGTTCTAAGTGTGTTAAAAATCATTAGTTACTGTAAACCTATAAAACTAAGACACAGAGGTTTAGCACTTGCCTTAGGTAGCACAGCTAGGAAGTGGTAGAGTCAGAATTTGAATCTGGGCAGCTCCGCCTCTAAGACTTCTATCTACCAGGCTCTTGATTCCTATACAACATCCCTTACCACCACCACCAACAACAACAAAAAACAAAATTCATCTTTGGGATTTTTCAGACTTAATAACATTTTCATAGTTTAAATCTTTATACATCTTCCCTTAATACATGCAGTTTTTAGAGTTACCATTTTTTCTTCCTCCTTCTAGGGCTGCCAGATAGAAGATACCAGGCCGGGTGCAGTGGCTCACACCTGTGATCCCAGCAATTTGGGAAGCCAAGTCAGGTGGATCACTTGAGGTCAGGAGTTGGATACCAGCCTGGCCAACATGGTGAAACCCCATCTCTACTAAAAATACAAAAGCAAGCTGGTTGTGGTGGCGTGCTCCTGTAATCAGTAGGCTGTGGCACGAGAATTGCTTGAATCTGGGAGGCAGGGGTTGCAGTGAGCCAAGATCGCACCACTGCACTCCAGCCTGGGCGACAGAGCAAGACTCTGTCTAAAAAAAAAAAAGGATATATATATATATATATATATATATATATATATATATAGAGAGAGAGAGAGAGAGAGAGAGAGAGAGAGAGACAGACAGAGAGAGAGAGAGAGAGACATATATGATACCTAGTTAAATTTGACTTTCTTATAAACGAATAACTTTTTAGTATAAGCATGTCCCAAATATTGCATATTTAACCAGTATCCTATATTTTCCTTTGCTAAATTTGATAGCCTTATTTCTTTCCCCTTGTCTTGAAACTTCTCAGTTAGTATCTTTACTTTCCGACCACTATTCTTTCTGTAATAGCACTCTTGTTAACCCTATTTTCTCAAAATAGTCCATGACCTTGTCTCAATTCCCATGTTCTCAGGACTCTTGGCCACTTTATATAATTTTAATAGTGCAACTATATAACTTAACATCAAAATTAGATAGTTTTATGCTGGGACTGTAGGTGAAACAGAAATTGTCTAAGGAATATCAAGACTTAGGGTGGAACTAAATGTTGAGCACCTCATCCTTCTTAAAACTTATTTTTTTCTTGGTTTCTAAAGTATGTTACCCTGTTTTTTGGACTTTTAACCCATGACACACTCAAATCCTCTTTACTGGCTTTGGTTTCTCTTTACTTCCTACCTATCAAATGCAGGCAGGAATGCAGGTATTTGTGATTTTCTCCCAGATTTATATATCTAGACTTGAATGCTTTCTCGAATATATTTCCAATTATCTTCTAGCCATATTTCTGTTATGTCTCCCAGACATTGCAAGTTGCATGTAGATAGATACAGAAACATAATATATAACATTTATGTAATGCTTACTTATGCCTCACATATACTGACTTTTTTTATTTTCACAACTCTATTATTATACCTATTTTACAGAAGCTGAGGCACAAAGAGGCTTAAGTTACACTTCCAAGGTCACAAAGATAGCTAATGGAATTGCCTAGATTTGTCCCTTAGTACTGGAGAACTTCCCAGGAGCTTTCCATCTGCTGGGTCCAGGTGCCACTTCTCAGAGTCAGACAGATCTTCCATATTCTGCTTTCTTTCTTGCACCAAGTCACAGAACCTCAGCCAGAACTTCCTTCTCCTTATGCTAGCTGCCACCACTACATAGCTCCACTCCTACACCCCGTTCCCCACCCCCAACACAGCCTGGATGGTGAAGGAGGCACAATTTATCCTATGATGCTCTTCCATGCTCTCCAGTACAAACAAGCACAAACATAATCTGGGGGAGGGAGGTGGTGTAAATTACAAGAGATTGCAAAAATAAACACTTGGGGAAATGCAATTATTCACAGTTTCAACACTCAAGATCTGCCCTATAATTTTTACATGTCTTCTGATAGAGTAACTAACTAGAAGTCTAGTAGAAATTAGCATTATTTTTTTAGATGGGGTCTCCCTCTATCACCCAAGCTGGGCTGCAGTGTTGCGATCAGGGCTCTCTGCAGCCTTGACCTTCCTGGCTCAAGCTGTTCTCCCACCTCCGCCTCCCAATAGCTGAGACTACAGGTGTGCACCACTATGCCTGGTTAATTTTTAAATTTTTTATAGAGACAGTCTTATCATGTTGTGTAGGCTGGTCTCAAGCTCTTGGACTCAAGTGACCCTCCTGCCTCAGCCTCAGTGGTGAGATTATAGGTGTGAGCCACTGCGCCCAGCCTGAATTATAAGTTTTAAATGGATGATTTACAAAAGAGTACAAGGAAATTTTTGGAGGTGATGGATATATTTAAAGGATATATTTAAGCTTTGGTTATGGTGGTGGGATCATGGGTGCATGCATATGTCTTAACTCATAAAGATGTATACCTTAAATGTGTGCCATTTTTTATCTCCATCATACTTCATTCAGTAAAACTAAAAAATAAAATGGGTGATTTGTCCCTCAATAAACCTACCCTAAAAAGTAAAAGTACACAATCTTCATGATCCTGATTTAAGTTTCTCACATTCTTCATAATTCAGAGTCTGCCCTTTTTTCCTGAAAGCAGCTATTGTTGTTGATGTTCATCCACGTTACATGAATGGATCACTATTTGTTTATTCAAAAATGATGATTGAGCATCTAATATGTGCTAGGCCATGTTCTAGATATGGAGGAAGAGTGTAGCGATGAACTGTAGAGGGTTCAGGAAGTTAACATTTCATCGTGGAAAACATTAGCTAAAGAAGTAAACAAAGGAAACACAAATGTTCCCTGCCTGTGGGGAAAGGAAAGACCCTGCTGCCCACCTGCAGCTGTCCTCTGTTCAGTCAATTCACCTTCTAAGAGTCATTTTCTTCATCTGTGACATGGGAATCATTATCTTTGTTTTGCTTGCCACACAGGATTTTTTAAAAGAATCAAGTGAAATAAGTGCTGTGAAAAGTCCTCAAACTGTAAGAAATATGAAATTTAATGTTGAAAGAAGGTTTGTGTATATTCAAGGAAAAGAAATCTTATGTTTAAATGGAAAATGTAAACAGACACATGAAATGTCCATGAATCTGGGGAAGAGTTTCCTCAGTCACATTCCTCTAACACTTGTGTGCATTTTTAGTACAGTAACGATGCTTAAGATTGTGTAACTGAATATTTCATCAGAACAATCAAGGTTACCCTTCAAAGCAGTTATAGAATTATCTTCTCCTAACTAAATATAGGTACCTTAACAAACAGAAGGGCTTCCCCATGAGCCAAATGAAATGGCCTTTATATTTGAGATACTCGCTTACTTAGAAAATAAAAAAGGAAACAATTTGCTAAATTTGCAGCTTTTCCTTCCTAGAACTTTGAGTTAAAATACTTGCACGGAAAGATTTTCACATGATGTATATTTAGAAAAAAGAAAAAGAATTAAGTAAAAGGTAAATTTGTTATTGGTGAAAGGAGAAGGTTTGCATAGAGTTTTATAGTCTATCTCTTGGGTATGTTTAATCTTCTGAAGTTTAAAAACGATTACCTTGTACCTACCTTTTCTCTTTCTTTATTCCTTTATTTAACCTTTGAATTTAGTAAAAAGTAGTCTCCGTTTTATTACAGTTGTGCAGATTAAAGCTGATCTTTACATTTTCCTTTTTTAAATTCAAAACTTTGGTCACTTTTCTTTTTTAATGAAGGTGGTTATATAGAATTGATCCACCTACAAATGATGTAGGAATTTCAGGGTCTTATTAAGATTAGTCTTTATTAATTAATTATAAGGTGCATTAATTACACTCTAAATGATAATTAGCCTATTCTCTAATCTATTGCTTATTTTCTCATTGCTTTCATACTTGGCTTTCTGCAACTGGTATTTAAGCTAGAAATTTTGTTTGAAAACTAACTTTAGTAGTGAAATTTCCTACATTGCTCGACATTTTGCTTTATAAGTTGCGAAAATATTCTGAAGCTGTAGGTTAGTGACAGTATTCATCTTAGTCTATTCAGTAAGCTATAACAAAATATCATAACCTGGGTGGTTTATAAACAACAGAAATTTATCTTTCACAGTTCTGGAGGCTAGGAAGTTTAAGATCAAGGAACCAGCAGATTTGGTTCCTGGTGAGGATCATGCTCCTAGACCAACATCTTCTTGCTATTACTTTGCATAGTGGAAGAGGGGAGGGGTCTCTCCTTTATAAGGGCACTAATCGCATTCATGAGGACAGAATGGACTTAGACTCTATCTCCTAATATCCTCACTTTGGGGTTAGGAGTTCAACATATGAATTTTGGGGGGAAACAGACATTGAGACTATAGCAGTATTATTATATATTCAATTTGTTATTTGCTAATTTTGCTCCAAGCAGCTTCCTCACCATCAAATCACTAGCTATGCATCCATCATCATTGTTCCTCCCTGTCTCCTATTTAACTTCTCTTCTTTAAAATTCTCTTCCACTTTCCATCTTACCTCTTCAATGCCACTTTGTCTGGATCCGTGACTCTTCTTCTTTCCTGATTTAGAAATTTGGATGTTCTCAATCATATCCATGGTTTGTCTCTGTTTTTTTTTTTTTTCACTTATATTTTTTTCTTTAGTGATCCCTTTTATTTCCTAGCACCATTTCTTAAATTATTTCACTTTATGTGTAATTCATTCATTTTACATGTAATTTATCAGTTCGAGAAACTGTAAGCCATCATTGATATGTATGTAAACACTAAGTCTATAATCTGTAGTCCCGTCCTCTCTTCAAACTCTGATTTCACACTTGCACTTGAGATCTCCTTTTGGAAAGGCTGAAATGTTCAATCTCATTTTCACAAACCTAACCCATAGTCTTTCTCCTCAAACTTGGCTTTTTTTTTTTTTTTTTTTTTTTTTTTTTGGTTAATGTGTTCTATTTCTATTCCACATCCTAACCTTGGTACTCAGTTGTGATCTTTGACTCTTTCTCTGCTTTTTCTTACTCTAGATCCAGTCAATCTCCAACTCCTACGTATTCTGCTGCTAAAATGCCAGTTTATATCTAGAAAACTCTCACTAACACTTGTCTGGACTAATTGCAATAGTCTATTAATTGACACACTCTTTGTAAAATCCAATTTCCTTTCATTGGCATTATCTTATTCATGATCTATCTTCAACTTACTTTCCAGACTTCTTTCTTATTAATTTTCTATGATACAGCCAAACATAATTATTCATCTTTTCTTAAAACATCCCAAACTTTGTGTCTCTTTGTTCATCACTTACTTTTTTCTTTAATGTGACCACCCCTCCTTTACCCTGTTGAAATACAATCCATCTTCAAGCTCCAACTCGAATACTACCGCCTCCCTGGAGATGATTGATTTCTT